GTGTAAACACAAGCATAAACAAACTGGAATTTTAAAAACATTAGATAATAATTTACATTATCAGTTTTTGTTAATCAATTGAATAAATAAAAGAATACACAATTTAATCAATATTTATCTAATCTAAAACCTTTATTAAGAAGCTCATTGACTGTAGTAATTTTTTTCTATTAAAAATCAAGTAGGAAACATTTATTTTTATTTTAATATGATTTTTAAAGGCCTATTGAATGGGGCCAGAATTAGTCTCATGCCCCAGTGTTTTGAACTGGCTGCACTGCCTATACCTACACCATGTGTATAAAAATGTATACCAAACCTGTATAATGGTCATTTTCTATGTAATGACATGTACTACAGTATAAATAGCAACAGTTTAAAATTGTTAATTTCATTTTTTCGCGCTGCACCTTTTAGGCTGCTACGATCAAGGGGAAACAGTCATTAAGAAACTGTAGGTAGCGGTAGCTTTTACTTCTGTACGAAGGTATGGGGATTCCGAACTAAGCAATGCGCATGCGAAGATACCAAAGAACGTCCATGAAATATCTAAAAACACAGTGAGCATGCGCTTGGAAATGCTAGACAGCCAGTGAGCAATGTCAAGCATGTGCAGATACCTAAAAGACGTCTAAGAAGCAAATGGCGTCTGCGAAGAGGGTATGAAATAGAAATGGGAAAAATCAAACTTTTTTATGCAACAATTGAGCATGCGCAACTCAAGCTAAAGCGATCATGCAGGCGATTAAAATGGAAGATAATGAGAATTTCTGGTCAAAAATAGCCTGGGCTATCAAAGGTCTACAGTTCATCATAATATAATTGTCAAGGGGTTGTAATTTTTGCAAATAAGAGTTTATTAGGCTTCATCGTTGTACGTACGTATACATTAACAAGCAGATAAAAAATAACCACAGAAAAGAAAAGTTAAACACGGTGGGACGCCAGGCCTAGTTACTACTGTATAGGAACACTGCCCAGCTTGAGATAAGTCACCTAGTTCAGACTGGCAGGTTGATAAACCCGGTGAGTTGAGCCGTGTTTATCCACCTAGTCTGAACTGGGCATAAGTTTGGTAAATACAGACCAATCATAAGTTACAGATGTTGCGTTTTTTTTTTTGCAGGAAATGTTTTTTGTTTAATTTGCCCTAGTGTATGTAGATCAGGTTCTGCTTTATCAGCTTAAAGGGAACTCACACAGTATATGAGTACTGTATTCATGTCGGAAAGCCTACCGAACCGATCTGTAAACCCATTCAGTATAAAAGAATGGGCCACTGGCGTCTAGCACTTCAGAAACCCACTCTTTAGTTCAGATCCGATGAAAGTGCAGCTGATCCCTAAATAATGGGCTTTCTCCTTTTTTTCCTAAAAACGTTCAAGTGATAAACTCTTTCTTGCATCGCCCAAATCATATTGATATTCATTTTATATGAATATGATTATTATAATTAAAATCAATCAATAATTTGATAATGCGCATTACAATTCTCTCTTCTGTATGCATCAATGGGAACATAATATTCTTAATGACAGTTAAACGCTTATCGGGCACTGTTCCTGAATTTTAAACAAATTT